AAAAAAAAAAAAAAAGGTGATGTCGGGTCTTGCCCCTCCCCCACAACTATCAACTGCTTTAAAAAAAAAAAAAAAACAAGAAGGTTAGACAAGCAGTTTGTCCTGAGAGGGGCAAGTGCAGACTGATTTTCTGCTTAGGGCATAGCAAAGCTGGAAGACAAAAAAGGAAAAAAAATTAAGAATTTCAAAATGAAAGAGACATCTTGGGAAAATTAATTAGACCTTTCTTGTACTTTCTTACACTTACTTTGTGATTTAGAATTGCATATATTTTGAAGTATATTTGGAAAGGTGCACACTATAACCTTTTTCGTCTTGGAATCCTTAAAGGTCATAATCAGGCTCCAACCACATGCTTTGGGAGAACTCTGAAATATTAAACCACAACAGGGAGGCTAATCATAGAGGCTATCACACAATGGGATCAAAATAGAAACAACCTTCATATGTATCTGAATCAAAAATGAAGGGCAGAGTAAATCTATTTCACTACCCATACTTCATTTTCTTTTTCTTTCTCTGTCACCAGGCTGGAGTGCAGTGGCACGATCTTGGCTCACTGCAACCTCCGCCTCCCGGGTTCCAGCTATTCTTCTACCTCAGCCTGCCAAGTAGCTGGGATTACAAGCGCCCGCCACCATGCCCAGCTAATTTTTTTATTTTTAGTAGAGACGGTGTTTCACCATATTGGCCAGGATGATCTCGATCTCCTGACCTGGTGACCCGCCTGCCTCAGCCTCCCAAAGTGCTGGGATTACAGGTGTGAGCCGCCACGCCCGGCCTGCCATACTTCATTTTCTATTCAGAAAAGCTCAATTTTGGGTTACATGGGCATGCCCTGGGATAATCAGAAAAAATAAAATCAGTATAAGGAAGACCATATTGATTTCGGGTTTTAAATGCAAGTAGGTGAGGCTGGGTTTGACAGATGTGTCCTCAGCTGGTTGGTTGGTTGTTTTTGAGACAGTCTCTGTAACCCAGACTGGAGTACAGTGGTGCAATCTTGGCTTACTACAGCCTCTGCCTCCCCGGTTCAAGCAATTCTCAATTCTCATGTTTCAGTTGCCCAGGTTGCTGGGATTACACAGGTGCACCCACACGCCCAGCTAATTTTTATATTTTTAGTAGTGACGGGGTTTTGCCTTGTTGTCCTGGCTGGTCTCGAACTCCTCGCCTCAAGTGATCCACCTGCCTCGGCCTCTCAAAGTACTGGGATTACAGGCAAAGCAAATAAACAATGAAACAACAAAAGAACGAAGACAGGGATTTCTTGAAAACAAAAGTACACTCCATAGTGGGGAAGCAGACCCACACAGCAGCTCAAGGGCCCAGATACAGAATCTTCTTGGGTCCAAATACCCCCTAGAAGTTTCCCATTGGTCACTTTATGCTTACTCAGTGTAACTGAAGTGATAGCCCACAATCAGTCTGAGTGGTTGCAGAAAGCAACCAATCAGAGGCCAGGGTGAAGTTACAAAATTATACTATTATGCAAACGGAGACTCTCCCGCCATCAGTCTGATTGGTTGTGGACAGCAACTGTGTCCAGAATGGGTGGGTTCTTGGTCTCACTGACTTCAAGAATGAAGCCGGGGACCCTCGCGGTGTTAACAGTTCTTAAAGATGGTGGGTCCGGAGTTTCTTTCTTCAGACCTTCAGATGTGTCTGGAGCTTCTTCCTTCTGGTGGGTTTGTCGTCTCACTGTCAGTAGTGAAGCTGCTTCCCTGGTGAGTGTTACAGCTCTTAAAGGCAGCGCGTCTGGAGTTGTTTGTTCTTCCCAGTGGGTTCGTGGTCTCGTTGGCTTCAGGAGTGAAGTTGCAGACCTTTGCAATAAAGGCAGTGTGGACCCAAAGACTGAGCAGCAGCAAGATTTATTGCAAAGAGCGAAACAACAAAGCTTCCACACCATGGAAAGGGACCCCAAACTGGTTGCCACTACTGGTTCGGGCAGCCTGCTTTTATTCCCTTATCTGACCCCACCCACATCCTGCTGATTGGTCCATTTTACAGAGAGCTGATTGGTCTATTTTACAGAGAGCTGATTGGTCCATTTTACAGAGAGCTGATTGGTCTATTTTACAGAGAATTGATTGGTCCGTTTTGACAGAGTGCTGATTAACAATCCTTGAGCTAGACA